GAAAAAAAGATTAATTACGTTTCTTGTTTTTTCAGGTTTAAGTAACTCATGGGGGTTTCTAGGGATTCTTGTCGTGTGTGTACTTGTGGTGCAGCCGCTGATGCTATTGCCTTTGCTGCTGCCACCGCCACTGCTGCTGCTGCTATACTGCTGATACTCCTTTTGCTGCCTTCATATATCTACGATATTATATATATATATGTGTGTATATGTTTGTAAACATATATATATATATATATATATATATATCCTTAATGGCTCCGGGACCACATTCTACTGTATCATTTGAGTTAAATAACGATTCAAGGTTCATGTGTGTGCGAGCTGGCCGACCAGGCTTTGGCTTGCAGCCAGCCGAGGAAACATGGAGCAACCCTGTCATATAATGTACCCAATTAGACCCTAATTGGTTCCCGACCTTAAACGATCGTGCATTATCAGGCCCTTAATTTCGGTGGGAACGCCCATGTACAGTTATGCTGCAGGTTCATGAGCCATGCACTTCTTTTGTAGGAACATAGCAATCCTTGCAAATCCTTGGGTCCCCATTTCTCGTTCGATTTCCTTAGCCCTAAATATAAAACTCGACCACAGCTTATCTTTGAAGTGCCAAGACGTGCTTGGCAACACGGGTGTGCGCCAACCCCTGCTCATGTGATTGCGCTGGCGTGTGAGGGTGCTGCATGAAGATGCAAACTTGCTGTCTTCTCAGACCATTGTTGCATGCTCAAGCAACGACCGATTCACCCAGCATCTACACAGAACAAACAAAGTAGGCTACACAATACATCCGTACTTCGAATCCTAGAACGTCATGTCCATCTTGTCGGGATGCTCTGCTGCAGCACTTGATATTGCTCACAAAGCAGGACCGAAAAGGGAGCGATGCTTGAATGCATCATGCTCCGTATGTGACATTCAGTCTGCACACATTGCAGGACTTATGGGAATGCCAGATGACTTCTGGACTGCATCCATCGAAGCCATCAAAGATGACAAGGAGTTCAGTCAAACCCCCGAGCCCTGAACCCATAAGCCCACTTATAAACCCTAAAGAATATAAAGTCCTATACACACCCAACTCGGCCATGCCAATTGCTAGGACCCTACGCCGTCGCCAGATGATCTGATCAAGATGATTGTGGAGAATATTCAGAATGACGGAATCTGCAGTCACATTCGTAAGCTTTTCGATTCCGGGAAAGGCCCGCTATTTTGTGGTGTGTACATTTCGCTAAATATGCATGTGCGAGAGTGCCGAAGCATCCTTTTTTCCTCCCATTGCTAGCCGCAGGCGGTATCCTTCTTCAGCCATCAGAGCCTGCAGTTGAGAAATGAGGCTATAGATCGACGTGCACTGAGACAGCAGTTCAAATCTTTGAGAGTGAGCACTCGTTGCTTCGTAAGAGCCGTCTCGACTTTGCTGAATATATCGGTATAGATCCCCACGCAGGTTGGCATGGCTCGCTGCTGACCCAAACACCCCAGCTACAGTTTTGAGGTGCCTGGCCCGGTGGATCTTGCTATAGTTTACTCTAGAAACCAATCACCCCAGAAGCATGGCCTCGACCAGGCAGGCAGCGCTGTGCTTGCAGATGGTGGTAGCAGGAGGCCGGAACCTGAATCAGTTCCCATCGATCCTACTTTAATTTGAACCGGCCCGGAGGTCAGATTTTGCGGATTGTCATTGTGCTGGAGATACTGTTCAGCCGGGGCCCCATACAACCACTGGTGTTGGCAGGGTGTTTGCTTCGCTTGATGCCAATGGTCATGATTGCATGTCCTGCGCTCTGCCGTAAATATGCAACTCCTCCGGAAAGCGGGCTCAGCTTTCAACCTCAGGATTTCCCAGGTAGGATCCAAGGTCATGGCTGAGGAGGCTGAGGAACAAAATGGCGCCATCGTTCCGTGCCAGGACTGGCCTGAGCCAAAGAAGTTGACCCAGATTTGGGAAGGTGATGCTAGCATTAGGCAAAGCTTCCGCGAGCATGGACATCTTCTGGTTTGGCCAAAGAAGGAGCTGGTAGGAACGGCTTCCCTGAAGACACTCTCCATGAACAAATTAGTCGTGGCGGAGGCTTTGAAGGTCTGGTGCCAAGAATGCCCAACCCCCAAGAGCCCTCCAATCGATTGGTTGAAGCAAGAGGCCAGAGGGTAAAATCACACTCTAGTTGTCTCTATCTCTCTCTATATATCTCCATATAACTCTCTCTCTATATATATATATAAATCTCTATATCCCTATCTCTCTGCATAGCTGACTTTGTTCAGAGAGTCAGCAAGGTTCACAGGATTTGTGAGTCAACAGGGTTTACAAGCTTTGTAGGGTTTACAAGCTCTTTCGGGTTTCGAAGGGTTTGTTTAGGTACATATTATATATTAACTTCAGCTAATCTATGCATGTATATATATACATATATATATATATATATATATGGGTAAAGGTCTCTCAGTAAGGAAGTTAGGCATCGTATGGGTTGGGTGTATAGTGTGGTTATAGTATATGGCTATATATAGGTGTATATATACCGACTTGAAAACTACACAGTATGAACATTCATTTGGTATTTGTACCCCGAGCCTAATTTTACCAGCCTTGAAGGTGCTAGCTTTCTACAACCTCTTCACCCCTGCCATTGGCTCTGACCCGACCACCCGGACGAAGCAGAACCAAATCGGCGCATATTGTGATGCTTGGGGGGTCAAGCGGCTGATCAGTCTCGCAATTCGGAGATGGAAGGCACCCATCAAATCCCTCAGAGAATCTGGGCGCACTAAGATTTTAAAGCAAATTATTTATCCAAATAGGTTGGCGGTTATTTTTATTGTGGACCATGCACTAGCCTATCCTGCAAAACCAAGGCTTTGAAGTTAGTGTATAGCTATACCTAAGAGCATTGATTGAGATAGTGTCGAAACCTATATCTATGGTATATGTATATAGATACATACATATACTTGTTCAGGAGCTGAACTTGGGGCTAGATTCATATGCTTATGAAAGAACCGACCCGATCAATTGAAACCACAACAGCCAAGAGCTACCCTGTGGACTCGTGTAGAGATTAGATAATGATCTAGATACCTACCTGCGACACTTAACTATATCAGATGCAGAGCTCTGAAACTTCCCACATCACTTGAATTAAGCCGGAATAATCTACACTCAGCGGGATGATCTGAGGACCGTACCCTCATGATCCTCTTCGACATTATGACGGAGTACTGGGGTCAGGACCCTGAGGAGGATGAAGGAGATGCTCCGGCGGCGCCGCCGGCAGCTGAGGTTGAAGCTCCTTCTGCTTCCGGAACCAGTAACTTTGGCCAAAATTGCTCGACTCAACAAAGAGATCTTCTTAACTCTCCACAGGAAAGCTAGCTTGCATGTGACCACGTGCATGCACCCCAAGGCAGCAGCTCCACGAGAGACGAGACAATCCGACAGCTAGAGCTGGAACTTCGTGACCTGCAGAACCTCGAAATAATTTACATGACTGACTTCCCAATATGCCACACATTTCAAACCTCCCCTGTCCAAGGAACGTTTTGGCAGCTCGCCGTGCAATTCGTGAAGCAGATGCAGCAGCCAGGCTTCGGCAAGAGGGTGCAAGTCCGAGCCGCCTGACATGTCAAGTGGGTTTCGAGCGATCTGTTCGTTGTCTTGCATGTGTCTCTAGATTCGTATACAATATATCTGGTGAGATTGAGGTGGTGACCCTGCAGCGATGGACACGTGCCCCATTGACATCATGGGCCTCGGCTCTTCCATGGAGGTTGATGCGATTTGTATCAGTGATGATGAAGCCCCAGCTGCTGAGCCGACCTCCCCCAGGGTTTGTCATGAAGATGTGTATGAAGACTTCAGCGCTTTCGTTGGTGAAGTGGAGCAAGAGTTGGAGCAACAACTTCTCGAAGATCAGACTCCTGCTCCCATGGACACCACGATGATGGGTGATGCTACAGAAACCGATCCTGCAGGTGAGGCAGCAACAAAGGCTTGCACGATGAATGGTGATCCTACAGAAGCCGATTCCACAGGTGAGGCAGCAGCAATGGCTTGCACGATGAATGGTGATGCTACAGAAGCTGATCCCACAGGTGAGGCAGCAACAAAGGCTTGTGAGATGAATGGTGATGCTACAGAAGCTGAGCCCGCAGGTGAGGCAGTGAATGATGCCGAGCCCGTAGGTGAGGCAGAAGCTGACAGTGGTGCCTCCAAAGATGCTCCGGATGTGGCAGTTAACCTTGTGACGGCAGCTGGGGGGTTCGATGTTCACAACTTCCAGGCGGGCTGAAGATTTAAGCCGTTCTGCTGCAGCTTCCGGGAGGTTTTATAAAGTGGCTATAATATATACAAATAATATCTCATACATAATTGCAGATTTAAAAGCAACCCATGTGTTGAGGCTTCGGTCGAACGGGTATGAGTGTACAAATATATACCTATAATATATATATATATATATACATATATATATATACATATACATATATACATATATATATATATAATATAATGCTTTATTATATATATATATATATATATTTTATGCAATTATGGGTCTGTAAGTTTTCCTAAGCACTGGCTGGAAAGTAAAGGTCGACAAGATTTGTGTGTATATATATACACACACATATATATATAGAGAGAGAGAGAGAGAGAACCATATAAAATGTGTGATACCTATATAGAACCGAATCTTCCGAAGACAGGCCTTATCTAAACCCGGCTAATTAATTGTGTCCCTGCAGGAAGCTCCGTCGCGGATTGAGCAAGCTCGCCTGGGCGAGGCAAGTAAACCTCGTCGCGGCCGTGCCGTGCTAGTGGGGGCCAGGGGAGGGGTAGAGGTCGGGGTCGTGGTGCCAAGGCTGCTAAAGATGTAGATCTTGCAACTCCGAGTCCGAAGGCAACCAGACCCACACGTGCCGAAGGTACTGACCTCGAGACCCCAGAAAAGGGATCCAAGCCATCAACCAAGAAGCCTAAGACACCCAAAGCTATGAAGTCATCCGGGAAGCCGACGAAAAGCAAAGCTGCAGATGCAGCCGCCGAGACGCCCAGCAAGGGGAAGGTGGATGAGGCAGCAGCCTCGGGAGCCACGAGGAAGCGCCGACGGATTGAAAATTTCGAGGAAAAGAGCTTTGCTGGAAGGCCCCGTCCTAAGGGAGAGGACACTGGTCTCCGGTGGCAAATGATCCGAGATGTTTTCTTTGAGAAGATCCACTCGCAGTTCCGATACCCCTCGCAACACCAGGACGGGATTGTTTGCTTCAGCATATTAACTATTCCAGCGATCGATGCAGGAAGCTTGGGAATTCTAGGGTTTCAGGTTTACAGAATCGATATAGTTAGGGGTTTAGGTGTTTAGGAGTTTAGGGGTTTAGGGGTTTAGGGGTGTAGGGATGTAGGGGTGTAGGGGTGTAGGGGTTTAGGGGTTTAATTAGGGTTTGATAAATTTAATGTATATACTTAGCATAAAAGTTCAAATATATTATATGACATGTGTATAAATAAATGAATATATATATATATATATATATATCCGAAGTCCAGGTTTCTTATTGAATGCCAACCGCACCACGAACCCTTGCCTCATATATATATATATATATATATTTATTTGTTTTTGTTATGATCAACCCTATAAACCTCACTCCAAAACCCCTGAACTCTCAAACCACACAAGGACTCTGCTGCTCCCTAAATAGAGAAAGATCTAGCAATCTATGACTATATGACGTTTTCAGGGTACACATGAAATAGCCCATTATCGTAATCTTGTACATGTTTATAAAACCCAATAGATGCCATCGACCCCTGTACAAGGATCCCTTCTGGCTGCTAGTGAAGCCGCAACTGCCCCAAAAGGGGACGCCTGATGACTACAAGAAGATTGCCCGCAAAGCCGCTCGTGAGTATCTGCTGACAAATTCAGCAGAAGAGCGATGACCAGCATTTTCAGTTACTGTGCTCGTTTGCAGAAGCAACGCTAGCACTCTGCATAGGCCTGCCATTTACTTACGTGCCAGAACCTGCATAGAAATATGCGGGCAACACGTTTGCTGGCATGCTGCAGTCTCAAATTCAATAGGATGCTCTGAAGCTTCACAGATTATGGGGTTAGAGAAAAGCGTTTGCAGCATCATCGGCAGCATCGCTTATGTTCGTGCATGAAGCAGAGCCGACTGCAACCTTGATGAAACAATCAATCATAATCCCTGACAGCTTAAGGCATGCGGCGTGGGCAAAGCTTCCTGGCCAAGCAAGGCCGACTGGAGATCAGCCTGGGCTGGCTTGTTTGATGCATGCTGGGATGTCATCATGTGATGTGTACATGCAACCCCCTTCTGCCAGAGCTTTTGATTAAAGGGGGTCGAGGATAGCTGCCATGATTTCTTCAGATGCACTGGAATCCTGTGTTCGACGCTTGGTGGGCTTGAATGTCCCTAAGGCATCCTGGCATTAAGTTCTTTTGGAGCAAATTCTACGTTAACCTGTTAACTTCGACCCCCCTAATTATAATTAAATATATAAACATATATATATATATATATATATATACATATACACTATAGAGCCGAGGCATTCCTGGCAGTGGTGCTGATGATGGCATGCTCTGACCCCTTGCCTCAGTCCTTTCGGGAACCGAATGGATTCGACCTTATCGAGCTCTACGCGGGACGAGGGCGAATTTCACGCATGGGCCGGGCAGCTGGGTTCCGGGTTATCACAGCCGACATGATCTATGATTCTCCTTGGAACACCAAAAAATCAGCTTTGAACATATGTGGATCAGCTGGTTTTGCGCCACGTGCTCGCAACAGATTACATATTAAGCATGGGTAAATAAACCGTATGTAACCGATGTTCGATCTTGCATGTGTATATATATATATATATATCTTGAATATGTTCATATGTACTGGTCATATTCATGTATATATATACACACATACATACACACATATATATATATATATATACATATATATATGTCTTCCCTTCTCAATCCTTGGCAACCCAGACCGATCTTGCTCCACTTACACCTATAGATAGCCAAACCGAAATAACCCCCAAAACCCATAAACCCAACCCTAAACCCCGCACAGCCTCCCCGAAGCCGTATAATTTGCTTCGTAATCATACACTGCCAAACCCTCCCAAACCCAAGCCTGCATGAACGAAGCTACGGTTAGCCCATCCGAGGCTTGCCGTTCTCATGGTGCTCTGCGGAAATCCAGAAGGGGCATTCGCTGCTATTGGAATTGAATGCAGCTCTTTCGTCTTAATCAATTCCGGGACCTCAGGTCGATGCCCTTTCAATGGCTGGGGGGATGTGTCAAAACCATCGGTGCATGTTGCGAACATGGGTACTTCAAGGTGCCTATATACTTTCAAGTTGCAATCCATGACTGGGTTTTGGAGGGGCTGGTATATAATCCCTTGCCCGCTAATTGCTGCCGGGAGGTCCATCCTCCTGCTCGTCCTGCTGAGCTGCCTGGGACACGTGTGGTATGTGGAGAACCCAGGGTCAACAAGAATCCATCACTACCCTCGCATGCAGTGGCTGTTCAAAGTGCTGTCTCAGGCTGGAGTCCCTGCCACCAGTCAGTTCATTCAATCCTTCGTAATGCGCACATTATCCACGCAGACTGCTTGGCATTTGGCCATATAGCGAACTGAGGTTTATGTGCAACGGTTTTGGATGGCTCATCATGGGCACCCGTGTCCTAAGCGAAGTGTACTCTGGAGCAATTCCCCTTCCATCAAGGCTTTCGACTTGGGGAAGTTGGTTCGGAAGGAGTTCAAGCCCAAGTACAAAACGGGGCACCAGTACACGGATCAGCATGGCCGAAGGTGTTTCCAGGGCACGAAGGTATTGAAGTCTACAGGGTGGCACGGTTGCAGAAAAGCAACGTTACGATCAGTCCTAGTGACTGCTGTACATCTAGATTATAAATATCTTTACACCTATTATAGGATTGGGATCGGAAGACCTTTCAGCATGTGCTGGCCTTGCTCTAATGCATTAATGAACTTCTCTGGAAATCAAAACGGTCTGGGCTACATACACCTGCCGAGGATTTACCCTGCCATCTTCTCTCGCCGGGTGGTGAACATGGTCCTGCCTGCACGTGAGCTTCCGCGGCCCAAGCCCGCCGAGGCCACCGCCTTTGTTGAAAGGGTTTGTAGAATTAAATCCCATTCTTGGCAGTTTCCGAAAATAGGGTACCTTATTTCGGTGCCCGGTTTAATAAGGATCCTATGGGGGTACTCTAGGGTTCCCTATGCTCGGTATATTTCTTTCTTAAAATCTATTGGGGCTCAGGTCGTAATCCCCGATTTAAGTACACATCGATCTTGACCATAGCAGCACACTATATATATAGAGGGAGGATATTATGCACACTGACTACGAGGATTTGTTTGGGTTTTCATTTGCGGCTTTGTACTCCTGAGCATGAACCTAATATCCCAAACCCAAAAGGCACCAAACCCCAACCCTACCCCCAAACCCTGCTCTCTGTATAAATAAATAAATAAATATATATATATATATATATATACATATATTTCACAAATTATGTAAAGGTTACAAAGCACGTTTGTAAAATTCTACACACTCTATATCCCAAGGCCAAGAAACCCTATACTATACATCGATACTTATATATATATATATATGCAATATGAACTATGTATGAACTCTTGCAAAGCTAAAGCCTAAAGACTGTGGCTGGGGCTCTTATTTGCAGCTTTTACGTTATTATATACATGTAATGTTGGTCGCCAATATTATGATTCGGGTTGGCCCTTCCAGACCCGGGACCCGATGTATTCCCCAGAGAGCCTAGACTCGTAAATACTAGGCACCCCAAGCTGTGAAACCCAAGCCCACTCAGGCTTCTCCTGAGAAGAATATCTATGACTTGTTCGGGGACCTTTCTTGGAGGGCTGCAGATGAGTGGTCTGAGGCTGACCTTGGAGAGGTCGTTCTTTATCTGAGGACCAGTGGGCTGCTGAAGCTGCCACAGCAGTTGAAATCTTTGATTCCTAAGTATACGTATCCTTGATTAAAGCATACAGGCTGTGTGTTTCCATGCAGTATATGCACTAATTTGATTGCATAACTCGAAACGACCCTAACGGGCCGGATCATGCCGCTTGGAGCACAAATTCATGCTGAATCGCAGTTCCGGGACCCACATGCAGCTTGGAGTGCAAAAGTCATGCTAAATCGCATTTTCGGCTGGATTCTCGTGTTTTGCCAGGTTTGTCGCGAAACCCACCCCCGAAACAATAGCGGAAATCCGCGGTACAATGGCGGAAATCCGCGGTACAATGGCGGAAATCTGCGGTAGGCCCCCGGCTATGTATTTTTGACACTCGACAACTGCAGATTTTGCTCAAAATGCACTCACAGGGCAGTGCTGAGACTGTGCCCAGCTGCACCCGCACGCTGGGTCGGGGCTTGGCGCTTTTAGATAAGATCGCCAATGATGGTGTGGTCAAACAAGAACCACCGGATGATGAAGCAGAGATTATGAAACAAATTCAGGTGGGCCACTTGCTGAAATCCTGATTCTGATTTGTCGAGCCTAGGATATCTAGAGAATCATGCTGAAATCAGGCATTGTCCTCGAAGCTTGAGAAGATGAAAGGCACGGGTGTCCAGGACAGGCATTGGTTGTGTGGTTATGGTGTCTGTTGACTGCTGAGTGTGATATGCATATATATATATACATATATATATATATAGATAGATATACTATATATAATATCTATATTTTATACGTATATATACACATATATTATATCTAGTTCACTATATATATATATATATATATGTATAAACCAAAAATATATTCATGGCTCGATCCCTACATATGTGATAACTATATGTAAAACAGAACAGGAGCCTCCAGCCGCAGCCGAAACAGAAGAAACCCAAGTTGATGCAGATAACACAGCAGAGGAAGGACTAGATGATGACGAAGCCAACAGGTTAAAGGAACAGAAGAAGCAGCAGCTAGAAGCAGCCAGACAGAAAGCCGCAGCAGCAGAAAAGGAACGACAAAGGCTTGCAGCAGCAGGAAAGAAACTGGCAGCAGCAGAAAAGGAACGACAGGAGCTGGCAGCAGCAGAAAAGAAGGCCGCAGCAGCAGAAAAGGAACGACAGGAGTTGGCAGCAGCAGAAAAGAAGGCCGCAGCAGCAGAAAAGGAGCGACAGGAGCTAGCAACAGCAGAAAAGAAGGCCGCAGCAGAAGAACAGGAACGACAGGAGTTGGCAGCAGCAGACAAGAAGGCAGCAACAGCAGAAAAGGAACGACAGGAGCTAGCAGCAGCAGAAAAGAAGGCGGCAGCAGCAGAAAAGGCTCGACAGGAGCTAGCAGAGGCAGAAAAGAAGGCTGCAGCAGCAGAAAAGGCTCGACAGGAGCTAGCAGAGGCAGAAAAGAAGGCTGCAGCAGCAGAAAAGGTTCGACAGGCGCTAGCAGAGGCAGAAAAGAAGGCTGCAGCAGCAGAAAAGGTTCGACAGGAGCTAGCAGCAGCAGAAAAGAAGGCAGCAGCAGCAGAGAAGGAACGACAGGAGCTAGCAGCAGCAGAAAAGAAGGCCGCAGCAGCAGAAAAGGAACGACAGGAGCTAGCAGCAGCAGAAAAGGAGGCCGCAGCAGCAGAAAAGGAACGACAGGAGTTGGCAGCAGCAGAAAGGAAGGCCGCAGCAGAAGAACAGGAACGACAGGAGTTGGCAGCAGCAGAAAGGAAGGCCGCAGCAGAAGAGCAGGAACGACAGGAGTTGGCAGCAGCAGAAAAGAAGGCCCCAGCAGAAGAGGAACGACAGGAGTTGGCAGCAGCAGAAAAGAAGGCCCCAGCAGAAGAGGAACGACAGGAGTTGGCAGCAGCAGAAAAGGCCCGAAGGATGGAGCTTGAAGCACAAGCAGCCGCAGCAGCAGTAGAGCTAGCAGAATTGGAGGCTGCCCAGCAGTTCCTACGCAACCAAACACAAGAAGCCAGGGCAAGGGAGGACTTGGCAAACAGACGTGTTGCCGAAGTGAAAAGAAGGAACCAGGAAGCAGAAGCAGAAGCAGCTGCTGCTAAAGCAAGGCGGATTGAGGAGCAAATCCAAGCAGAGGCCCAGCAGGCTGCAACCGAGATCACCGAAGCATTGCAAGATGAGCAGAAGTCGGCGCAGATGCTCGCAAGGGCACAAGCCGATGCTAGGCAGTATGAGGAGAACTTGGCAAGGGCCAGAGCCAAGCTTGAAACAGCAAAGGCAAACATGAACAGCACGCCGCAAGCACCACCCAACCGGAGCTCGACAGAAGTTTGGACACAGGATGCCCAACCCCCGCAGCGATGCCTGTCTTTCGGAGGTTGCACCCCAACCGAGCCATGCCCGCCGACCCCAGAGCACACCACACCCGAGCCCCAAGCCGCTCCCACCAGAGTAGCACCTGCCCCCAATCTGCCGCCAAGCAGAAGAGAGACTGCAGAAGCACCCAGCCGGCTTACCCTGCTCAAGCGAATCAACCGGGCCATGGAGCCCAATGCCAAAGGTGAGTTCAAAGTTTCTGAGGAGATCAGAAAGCAATGGAAGGGGGCAGGCAAAGAGGGTGTGTTCAAGCTCTTCGCCGAGGTTGGCAACAACACCGAAGCATTCATAAAAAGGTTCTCGGCCACCCGGGACTCCGAAAGAGAGATGCAGATCGGTGTGGAGTTTGAGTTTCTGACGAAACAGGTGTATGGGACTGCAAGAAGCCTAAAACCCTAACCCGTATTTTACCACAAGAACAACAGTAGGAATAAATCATGCAGTGTATATATATATATATATATATTCTAGACCATGATAATAAATTTAAGAAAGATAGATAGACCATGATAAAACTATACGAGTACCAGATACCATGAAACTGCTTATGCCTATACTATCTATATCTATATCTACCTATCTGTCTATATCTGTTTATAACTGTCTATCTATCTATCTACCTATCAATCAATCAATCAACCAATCAATCAATATAAATATAAATACATCTGTATATATACATATATTATGTGTATATATAGACATATATATATATATATATGTATCTCTATTACATTGTGGTGTAATATAATATATCACATAATAAACCATGAAAGCACACATGAAATATGTATGTATGTATGTATATATGTATATATATATATATATATACATACTCTATAGAGAACTCAGGAAATGGCCGACGACCAAAACATGTCACCGTGCCTCTTCTGAAGCTTAGCTTGAGCTCCCATTTGTTATATATATATATATATATATATATGTATATATATATATATATATATATATATTATATACCTTAATTCTCATCTGCCGCCCCAAGGGATGAAATTGACGCTTGTGTGGCCGAAGCCGAGAAGAACCCGGAAAAGATGATGAAGTTGCTTGTCTACTTCAAAACACAATCTTGTTCACTGAATTGTAATCTCTACAAAACATCTTTGTCCCTGATACGAAGAAACACCCCATGAACCACTTCAAATCCTGAGCGCTTAGATCCTAGCCTGCATGCACGACTAAGGAAGCACCCGTACAAGAGAAACACGTGGCGATACTATTGCGAGCTGAAAGTCAAAGGCCACAAGAAGTGTCTGAGCTGCTATTCTACTTAAGGGGTTTAGGAGTTTAGGGTTTATATTATTATAAGCATAATCTGTTGTCATAAAAGGCCGGCTCGGTGCATATCTTAGGGACACAGAACGTATCAACCTCAGAGACGAGAGCCACTTTGATGATACTTCGGGCACGCTTGACATGGACCTCGACGCCACCGCCCTGCCAAATCTTATGATTGAGGAAGGCCACTTAGCCCTAACTATTTGATGTTCGACCAATGACTATATAGTTAGAATCCTGTACAGCCCAGGAGCAACCCCGGACGGAGCCGCAAGCCTAGCCCAGAACTCCCACAACGAAGAGCTTGCGAAGACGATCAAGCGGCTTGGGTTTCCGGAGCTCGCGGAAGCAGCCAAGCCTTCCAGCATCATAGGTAAAGCGCTGGATGCGATTACGAAGAGGCTGAAGATGATGGGTGATGTTCGTTGTTTGTACGACAAGATCGCTGCACCCAGCGAGCTTATGTCGAAGACCTGCCCTCAGCTACTGAACCAAACCGTATGTACATGCACTCAAAACATGATCGCTCCTAGGATGAAGCTTCGACTGGATGCGATGTACACCAGCCTCGACGAGGGCCATGATCGGCTACAAGCTTCCCAGTCCAAGGGCTTACTGGATGGCTTCACAAAGCAGCTCTTTGTTGGCACTGGTGTAGTTAGGATGTTTAGGTTCAGGCTTGGGGTGATGATGTTCATGTTCCCAGAATTCCAGCACAGAACCCGATGCCATCACGCATACTGTATATGTACTCCCTGTTAGCCCCACATTCGAGCATCCACTTGGATCCTAGTTGTTTGCACACCGAAATCAGTAAGGATCGGATCTGCATCTGATAAGTGCAACCGACTCCTGACCAAGAACCACTAGACTAAAATAACCCAGATCGGCATCTTCGCATCTAGCTAAAACCTGAACCCAGATCCGAAGCTTGAATCTTGTAAGCCAGCAGCCACACCCTGAAATCTGGAAGCACATCGGCCTTTCGCGGGCCAAGGGAAGTTGTGTGGCCAACCTCGGATCATACTATATATAGTACAGCAGTATACAGTAATACAGTTAGTTGCAGTAGTAGAGTAGTGAGTATGGTATGGCAGCAGACATTGTAGCAGCAGCAGCAGCAGCAGCGGCAGGAGTAGTATAGCAGTAGTATATAGCAGTATAGTAGTAGTATAGTAGTAGTAGTAGTAGTATAGTAGTAGTAGCAGTAGCAGTAGCAGTAGCAGCAGCAGCAGCAGCAGTAGTAGTAGTAGTAGTAGCAGTAGTAGTAGTAGTAGTAGTAGTAATAGTAGTAGTAGTAGTAGTAGGAGTATAGTGGTAGTATAGCAGTAGTAGTATATAGTAGTATAAGTGTAGTATATAATATATATATATATATATATATAGCAGCAAGGTACGTCGTTGTATATGTAGTAGCAGCAATAGCAGTCGCAATTGCCATTCACACTGGCAGTGGCAGCAATAGCATTCGTAATTAGAGTACAGTAGTAGCAGTAGTAGCAGTATAGTAGTAGTAGTAGTAGTAGTAGTAGTAGTAGTAGTAGTAGTAGTAGTAGTAGTAGTAGTAGTAGTAGTGGTAGTGGTAGTGGTAGTGGTAGTAGTAGTAGTAGTAGTAGTAGCAGTAGTATAGTAGTATAGTAGGTAGTAGTAGTAGTAGTAGTAGTAGTAGTAGTAGTAGTAGTAGTAGTAGTAGTAGTAGTAGTAGTAGTAGTAGTAGTAGTAGTAGTAGTAGTACTATAGTATAGTAGTATACTACTATAGTAGTAGCTGTAGCAGTGGTAGTAGTGTATAGTAGCAAATATCGCGATATAGTAGCAGTCGTAGTAAAGTGGTAGTGGTAGTTCGTAGTATATAGTAGTATATATATATATATATATATATATATTCGAATTATAATGCAAGTGCTAGTATACCTGTACTATATAGTACTATATAAATAGTCTTACTAGTACTTGTACTTTTTAGTACTACATGGTACACCATCACTAAGTATAGTTATACTTCTTGAGGCCGCTAGGTAGGATTGGATATGTTCTGTACATTCCTGGTGGATTCGTACATAGCCCGCAGTTGTCAACGGTGATTTACATTAGCGAAACCCTATACTAGCAAGTTAAAGTCCGCACAGCCCTACCTGAGCCCTGAACCCCAAGCTCAAACCTTGAGACTCAAATCCTAGGCGCTGGTATAACCGGTGCTTTCAAGAAACAAGTTTAGCCAAAGTTTCCGACCCCGAATGTATGTAGTCAAAGCCCTTGCATTTCAACCATACGAGGATGGTCTAACACAGACCCTTTCTACATATCAAGATTTAGTTAGGATATGTGCAGTCTAGTCCCGCCAAGGGATGAGATTA